CCAAAGAGAATGGACCCATGAAGTGCATGTACTGCGGCGGAGAGCACAAGTTGGAAGTGTGCCCCATGTTTTGCCAGTGGACTGTTGGGAGCAGGTACCACTTCTGCAAGACGGAGGGTATATGTTTTCGCTGCCTTTCAGGAACTCACAACGGCCGTAACTGTCGCCAGTATCCTGGCTATTCTGTCGCGGCGTGCGGCGGCAGCCATCATACACTACTGCACGCTGAAGCCAGCGGTTTGACCTGCTCCGAGGCTCCCAGCGGAGGCGCAGCCATTCGGGAGACAGAACAGAGGACCGCTAATGCTTCGCAGGTGTTCAAAACAAAACAGGTTCAAGAAGACACGAACACCGTAGCGTTCCAGACAGTCCCTGTCAGACTGACCAATGGAACAAGATCAGTGGTGGTGAACGCGCTGCTCGACCCCTGCTCGGACGCAAGTTTCGTCACCAGAGCCACTGCTGAAGAGCTGAAACTCAGTGGAACCGAAGAAATGTTTGAGTTGGGGACGGTGAATGGAAATGAATCGGTGAACATGAAGAAAACCGAAGTGAAGATGAGTTCTCTGGATGAGAAGTTTGGCATTGACTTGAGTGCCTTCGTCATTGATGACCTGTCAAGTGCTTCTACGATCGGTGATTGGAATGGCATCAAGTTGAAGTGGGACCACCTGAAGTCTCTGCCATTTCCAACACCTACGAAGAAGCAAGGCGTTGACATGCTCATCGGACTTGCCAGGAACACCATGGAACTCTTCATTCCGCTGGAGACTGTGAAGGGCGGTGAAGACGATCCAGTGGGTATCAAAACACCGTTGGGATGGACGGCATTCGGACTTCTCGGATATGAGCGCAGCGGAAGCAACAGCAAGACGATGAGAACGAACATGAAGGTGATGAAGTTGGAAGAGTTGAAGAAGCTGAAGTTGGCTCCTTCCGAAGAGGCGCCACCAAAACCGGAGAAGCACAATGAAGAAGAAATCGAAGCAATGAAGGCAATGACCAGTTTGGACCTGATCGGGATCCAAAATGAAGCTGAAGTTCTGTCCCATGAAGACAAGATAGCGACAAAAATGATGGAGACTCCTCTGAAGTTTGATGGCGAGCGCTATGAAGTTGCTGTCCCGTGGCGAGACGGAAGGCCAAACCTACACGGAAACTTTGGATACGCGGTCAAAAGGCTCGAGAGGACCGAGAAGTCGTTGAAGAAGGCGGGGAAGGAGCTGCTGACGGACTACGACGCCGTCTTCAAAGACTACCTCTCCAAGGGCTACATGAAGAAGCTTGAAGGTGAAGACAGGATGACTGCTGAAGAGGACGGATGGTTTCTGCCACATTTTCCTGTGATAAGAAGCGACCGAGTCACCACGAAACTGAGAGTGGTCTATGACGCTGCCGCCAACTTCAGAGGCAGAAGTCTCAACAGCCAGCTCTACACGGGTCCATCAATGTGCAACGACCTCATTGAAGTTTTCCTCGGTTTCCGTCGGCACCCAATCGCCCTCACGGGCGATGTGAAGGAAATGTTCCTGCAGGTGAAACTTCCAGAGGAAGATCAGAAGTATCACAGAGTGATGTGGAGGAACGGTGATGAAGAACGTGAAGTTGATGTATATGAAGCGAGCAGGTGGTTATTCGGCAACGCAGCAGCACCCTTTGCAGCGCAGTTTGTTGTGAAGCGGAACGCCGAGATTCACGCAGAGAAGCTTCCCTTGGCTGCAAATGTCGTGAATGATTCGTTCTATATGGATGACGCCATCACCTCATTTGAAGATGTCGAAGCAGCAGTGGAAGCTCGGAAACAGCTGACCGATCTCATGGCAGGTGCTGGAATGAAGATAAGGAAGTGGATGAGCAGCCACACAAAAGTCATGGAAACTGTGCCACCTTAGGATCGAGCTGAGAAGTCTTCCGTGAAAATCGAACAACATTCTTCTCCAAACAAGGCCCTGGGTGTTGTCTGGAACGCAGAAGATGATGTGATCAGCGTCAGCTCCGGTCCGAGGACAGATGAAGCTGAAGACAAAGGCACAATCAGAACCAAGAGAAGTTGTCTGAAAGTTCTAGCCTCCGTGTTCGATCCGCTCTGCCTCTGCTCGCCTTTCACGGTCACAGGGAGGCTGCTGTTTCAACAGACATGGCAGCTGAATCTGGACTGGGATGATGACCTCCCACCGGAGCTGGAACGGAGATGGAGAAGATGGGAGTCAGAGCTGCGAAGATTGGAGTCAGTGAACGTGCCTCGCTGTCTGCATCCATTTGAAGAGATCTGCCGGCAGGAGATACACGTGTTTTCAGACGCGTCAGAGTCTGCATACGCCGCCGCTATATGCGTAGTAAGTCAACAGGATGAAGAAAGGTCATCAAGACTGGCCATGTCAAGGGTCAGAGTGGCGCCCAAGTCGACAAAAGTCAGCATACCACGGCTCGAACTCATGGGAGCACTGCTTGGCGCCCGGCTAGTGAAGAAGGTGTGCAAGATGATGAACATTCCGATGACCGGAGTATTCTTCTGGTCAGACTCAGTGAATGTTCTCTGCTGGATCCGCAACGACGTCAGCAGGTTCCAGAGCTTCATGGCACACCGGGTGTCGGAAATCAGAGACACTACAGAGCCAAGACAGTGGCAGCACGTGCCCGGGACAAGAAACCCAGCCGACCTGCCGACCAGAGGCCAGAGCTCGGATGAGGTGGCCCAAAGCAAGATGTGGTGGGAAGGTCCTGACTTCCTGTGTCAGCCACCCGATTATTGGCCAGAGAAGAAAGATTTCTCACAGGAGAAATTCGACAGAAGTGATGATCGACAGACAAAACAGGTGAAGAACACGCAGATGAAGAAGCTGGAAAAGGAGTCACGCCTTGATCCTGCTCGTTTCTCATCTTGGGTGAAGTTGGTGCGAACCACTGCTTACGTGCTAAGGTTCGTGTCAAATCTGAAGACGAGGTCCGGCCGTGACCTACAGCTGACCTCAGACGCCTCACTGGTGCATCCATTGTATCCATCTGAGCTGAAGACGGCGGAGACGTTCTGGGTGAAGCTGGCTCAAAGTGAGTTTGAAGAAGAGAAGCGTCAGCTCGTGGCTCAGGCAGGCCACTCCGGCACAGGAAAGCGGCCAAGGGAGCTAAAGGACAGCAGCATTCGACGGCTATCTCCATTCTTGGATGGCGATGGCATTCTTCGAGTCGGTGGTCGCGTGCGCCGGTCAGATATACCGTTCGAAGCAAGACACCCAGCGCTGTTACCCAAACAGCACGCCGTGACTTGTCTCATCATCGAGCAGACACACAAAGACGCAGACCACGAGATGGGAGTGGAGCACACCATTTCCGAGCTGAGGCAGCGGTTCTGGATCATCGCCGCAAGAGAAGCTGTCAAACGAACCATACGCACCTGCCCGGAGTGCATCAGAAGACAACGCCACCAACTTCGTCGGAGCAAGCAAGGAGATCAAGAAGCTACTGCTTCAGCTTGATGAAGATCAAGTCAAAGACAAGACAGCGCACCTCTACATCAAGTGGCACTTCATCCCGCCGGGAGCGCCTCACTTCAACGGTGGATGTGAGGCAACAGTGAAGTGTGTGAAGAGGAGCCTGCGCAAAACGCTGCAGAGTGCAGACCTGACTGATGAAGAGCTACAGACTTCTTTCTGTCGCGCCGAGGCGCTGCTGAACTCTCGGCCAATCACAGCGGTGTCGTCCGATCCAAATGACGGCCCTCCGCTGAACCCGGCGTCGTTCCTGCTGGGTCATAATGAAGTTGACCTGGCACCGACCTCCTGTAACGACAGCAACTACCTGAAGCGAAGGTGGCAGCGGCTGGAACAACTCAACAGGGAATTCTGGCGCCGCTGGGTCCGAGAGTACCTGCCGAGTCTGCACGCCAGACAGAAATGGACCGAGGCGTCACGGAACATCCAAGAAGGCGAAGCAGTCCTGCTCGTCGACCAGACCGTGCCGCGCGGCTCGTGGCCCCTGGGAAGAGTCACCGCCACGTTCCCCGGCCCGGACGGACTGGTGCGGGTCGCTGAGGTCAAAACGTCAAAGGGCGTCTACAGGAGACCAGTGACGAAGATCGTCAGACTGGAGCTGGATCAGTGATGCAAGGGACTGATCGAGACATGTGAGGTGTGATAGTGATTCAGAGTGATTGGGAATCACTCAGCGTGGGGGGTGATGTCGCGGAGGACCGATTGATTACATAGCAGGTTCAGCGCGAGCTCCAAATAAATATGAGCTGATTTAGAGGAAAAAAAGTGGGAACTACTTCTGAAGTGGGTCAATAAAGTGAAGCAATGTAGAAACAGTATTTGAATATTAAGTCGAATTAAGCAATTAAGACAAAACACAACGCGAGTAAAATATCACAAACAGTTTCACATTTTCCAAAATGTTGAAGTGAATCTTGGCAATTTCTCGTGACTACTTCACGACCATGATACATGCATTTCTTAAATTGAACTTTTTTAGCCAAACACGTACACATATGGTAAAATGAATGTCACCATCGTGTTCTACGGCCCAAATTACCCATAAAACATGTGTCACAGGCTGCGAATATCAGTTTTGATTTTCGGGTATATGTGCCTGCCCGGTTGACCTGACCTTGACCCTGACCTATGCTTGACTGACCCCTACATGGAGCTGACACTCTTGTAGGCCTTATATGATGGATTGTGCACCGTTTTGACAGAGTTTATGACGAGAGGCGCCCTTTGCGAAGTCCTGAAGTCCATGCTACTGAAAGCCCGATTTCAGGTGTTTCACCTGACCTTGACCTGACCTGTGACCTCAAAATTCAACTTTAAAGTACTCATCTGAAGCGTCTCGTCGCGTTCTTTCGTTTTCCGCCTCGTGCGTTTCGCTGCGCCTATTGGTTCTCGAGTTATCGGCTGGGGGCGTTTAACGCCCCCCCCCCCCCCCAGCAAACGGTGGGTGGCGAAATACCCCAGCAACTGCCGGGTTAAGTTGACTCGTGTTTTTCAAACCTTTCATTTTGTCAGCCTCGCGAACATCGAAGATCCCAAATCAGTGAACGTGGCGACAAGGCATCTGGTAGAAGAAATGATACAGCAAGATCCAACAAAAAGACCATCAAGCACCTACGTGGTCAACCATCCGGCTTTGTGGACATCAGAGCAAACGGAGAAGTTTTTCCAGGTAAGAATAACTTAACCTTATTCACCCAATAGTCAAAATTGATGGGAAAATGATCAATAACATGCCAACATTGTATTAGTTATTTTAGTTTACCAAATAGCAATATAACAACAAACTTTCGACAACATTTCCATTATCATCGAATGCTTGTCTGTTTTATTGCTATTTGATAAACTAAAAGAGCCTGTGCAATTTTTGGCATGTTATTGATCATTTTCAAATCCGACTGTCATTTCTTCGCTCATGCCTACCATCCAAACGATTAAGAAAAAAAATCACCTATTTCAAGGAGCACGCCTTTTGGGGCAAACAAGGGTCATACTCATAATACATCCTTAGTAGGGTAGTACGTACCGGGACGGCTGGGACCACTTCTGCGCCTGCCATCTATCGGGAGTGTTTGGAACTACAGCGGGCGCCGGCCGGCCGCGCCGCGCGCCGCCGTTAGGGGGCTATGGAGGCGAGTGAAGTGGTGTAAAACTAGACGAATTTTTCGCTTGTAAAGCAAAAAACGAAAAATGTACACTCACTACGGTGTTCAGGAAAGCACTGGGAACAATATGGATATAATTTAAAGGTAGTACGATGCGAACTGTTGGTTCCCTAGAACAGTATTTACATACTTGTAGGAGATAGGGCTTTAACATTACTGGAGCTTCCAAGCTGCGTTCGCAAAGTACTTGATCGTAAATGTTTCCATTAAGAGGCACAAATCTAAAAATGTACAGTCAGAGCGTTGTTCCCAATGCTTCTAGGTACATAATGAGCATAAATTTAGCTTGAAGTGTCATGACACCTTGGTTCCCTGTCCACTTTAAAACGACACTTTGTGCCGCAGAGCCTATCTCTTCCAATGGAGGGCGGCTGGGTGGCGGTTGTAGTGGTGGACAAGATAATTCTTGAGTGAAATGAAATCATCTGCTTTCAAAGAATAATTTCGAAGAACTTGTAATAATTGACAAATGAACGTTAATTAGTGTATATTTTCAAGTTCATGGCAAATAAAAAGATTTTAAACAATGCTTGTGAACCCCAGTACCGCCGCGCGAGTAAACAAGTACTCGACGTACGGTCTGCCCGCCACTTCTGAAATTGGTCCGCGGCCGGCCGGCCGCGACCCGACACGAAGTACACAAGTACATGATTCAAGTGTTTCTTATTGTAAATTACGCACCAGTACAACGCCTTTTGGGGCGACTAACGGAGCGAGCGAGAGGATGGGCCTTGCACGTGCGAAATTTCGAGGGGGTGCCTCCAACTGACTTGTGCACGGCACCCTACTAACCGGTCTCTAGCGATGTGCCAAATTTGAGCACAATCGGCCCAGCCGTTCTCGAGATCTGGGAGCGGCACCCTGCACGTGCGCACATGCAGAAAGGGTCCCAACTCTGGCACGTGGATATGCAGTGCCTAGTGGGTGCCTACCTACATGCCAACTTTCAGCGCAATCGGCCAATTAGTTACCGAGATATTGTAACAATTACGAAACTGACACCTCTTCGTTTTGCACGTGGCACGTGCATAAGGGGTCACCCACATGCATCGAAAATAGTCCAATACTTGGTAGAAGGAATGAAGCTACCCTACAAAAATTACCGCGTGTAAATCGGTCAAGTGGTTGCTGAGATAGGTATAAGCCTCGCAAAAGCGTCCGCACGGCCGGCCGGCCGGCCGCTCATACTCAGAAATTTCAAGGAAAGACTACGCTCGCTTCGCTCGCTCCGTAACAAAATCTCCGGTACAGTACAATCTTGATCACGGTGTTTTCAGAAAGAAGTACCAAATTATAACCAACAGTTTGCGCACTAATTTCAAAAAATGCTCGAAAACAAAATATAAAACACATGATTCATTATCGGAATTCTGCGACTAAATTCCCAGCGTATGTGATAAAGGTAAAAATTAAAAAAGCTATTATTCTTGTTGACACGTGCTGATATATAAGCCGGTACGAACATTTTCGTATTGTTGTTCACTTTTTACAACGATCTGAAATAATCCTGTAAGTCATTTATTACTTTTGCTCTTCAAAGAAAGTTGGTGACACCCCGTAGAGGCCATCCTTTGAAGAAATCCTCTTCACCTATGCATGTGTACCTAATCAAAGGTCCAAATGAAGTAGGTATGTCAGCAAACCTAAAGACGATCCTCGTCAGTGATTGTAATTGTCGTTTTGTACTGTCCTAAGGCTGTCAGCGACTGCATCAAAGAAGACAAAGAACATGGCCCTGTGCTGAAGAAGGCTGTCAATGAAGAACTCGATCTTGCGTTCGTCACAGAACTGGTCAAACTGAAAGAATGGAAGAAAGTCGTCGACGCCACTCTGGATAAAGGGGCTTTCGAGAGCTACCAGGGGACCACTGCAGAACTACTTAGGTTGATAAGAAACAAGGTGATGTAAAAATTTTTATTATCTTTGCTTGTTTTTCGTTTACATTAGCGACGCACCACCAACGAAGGTCGATTAGCAAACACCTCATTTCGTAGAGTAGAATTTTCACGATGCACAATGCACATTGCACAATTCACATCCAAGATGGTATCTCGAAGAAGCGCTACACAGATCAGCACCAGTCCATACTGCACTACTCCCACTTTTGATGATCTGTTCCCTCTGCACTAAAGCGCTGATTACAAATGTGAAATACCTTAAATTCCCCTACATGCCGGTGGACTAAATTTTCCGTGGACTGCTACAGGGGATGTCTTATGCCCCCTTCTAACTCCCATCTTCGGAAACGTAGCGACACGCAGTAAACGGCATTTAAGCGCATCAAATCTCACGACGATGCGTTATTTTTATCAGGCAAAGGGTCAGGCCACCAGAGGTCATAAAGGTTAACCCGCGACCTGATGGGGGGCATTTTGGCGCCCCTTTGTTTTTCTTAAATAGCAACGCCAAATTTTTAGTACCTTCCCGGGCATCAATTTGACACCTTCACACAAAATTTCAAGTCACAGGTCACCTTGAGTCAGGAGTTATTGAGGTCAAACTGAGGTAATGTTCGAGTAAACATGAGCAAAAAACATGACATTTTGAAACACTCACCAAATCTACAGGTAACAAGCAATTTTAAAGTTCTTTATGTGGTCATGTAGAGGAAAAACGGCGCTACAAAACTGCTGTCTCGGATTTTCAAAGTTTTGGGATTTTCAACTCTAAAAATAAAGAAGTTTTTTAAACAAAAAACTATAAAAATCCCCAATTTTTTCGAAGTTCGAAAAAAAATCGGAATATATGTGATAGTCCCTGCGCTCTTCGCTATACATATAAAAATTTAGATCGATACCTTCTTTTTTGCCAAGTTATACCGAAAAACCTGTTCAAAATTGATGACGTCAAGTTTTTGAACTCAATTTTTAAGCAATTCTTGACCACGTAACGCAAAACAAAGACCACTATTGAATTCCATGTGATGAGCTGCATCGAATCGATACCCATTTTATGCAAAAATATCAACTTTGAATTTTAACCCTCGCCGGAACATGCAACCCCATAAGGTTTTTCGCAAATAACTCGCGTAAAATGCGGCCGATCGCGTCGAAACTTTCAGTACCTCGCATTGATCAATTTTACACCTACCCTGAAAATTTCATGACCCTGACCCCAATGACCTTTGAACTGTGACCTCTTTTCCGTGACCATGTTTGGCCGAAATCGCGATTCGGCGTATGTCGGCTCGCATTAGCCGCGCGTTTGCAAGCTTTTCGTGGTTTTAAACGTTCAACCATGTGATTTGATGTTGCTCCCATGCATTAGGGTGGGTGTCAAGGTCACCTGAAGGTCAGGTCATGTCATTGACCTTTGGTAACCTCGGTTCACTTTTTCGAGTTTCACATGTTTCTAGGCTAGCTTTTGGAGCTGATTTCGAATTTAGCAACCATTTGAACATTTACGAAGTAGTTTTGGTGCGTGAGATGATGTTTTTCGTACTCCAGCGTAGATGGGTAGCCATACGGCTTCCACGGTTCTACCCACCCATCTACGCTGGAGTACGAAAAACATCATCTCACGCTCTCAGTCCCAGTGGATAAAAACAACACCTAGTTTTGGTGCCTTCGTAACATCTTACGAAGCTGTCAGAGGTGGATGACAGGTACTACGAATACCCGTCACGACCCCTACCGGTTGACCTGACCTGACCTGACCTGACCTGACCGGACCTGGTCTAAACGCTTAACGACATCATTTGTGATCAAAACTAACACGATATTCGTGATCAGCACCTTGGAAAACCCGTTAGCAGCCACGCTTTACGACTTTCTAACGGGTCCCGATATTCCCGATTTTTGGGTCATTGACCTGACCTGGAAGGTCAATCGATGACCTAGGACCTTAACCCGCGCACCGACGGGGGTCTACGCCAACTTCGTACCGACGGGGGGGGCGGATGACCGACCCCCTGAGATCTCGAGAACGAAGCAAGGTAGCGACAAGCGGTAAACGGCATCGGATACACACGGACAAGGTCTACAATTTTTACGAAGGTAATTTTCAGGTCAGGTCAAAGATGACGTCACAGGGATCAAAAAAGTCAAAATGGCGGCGCTATATATCGAGAGTTTTTTCTCGAATAACTTTCGAATTAGTCAAGATAGGAACAAACTAAGGGCATCATCGTGATCCTCTCGTCAATCCGCATCGAATGATATATATGTTGACCTCGAAAGGTCAAGGTCAAAGGTTGACCTCAGGTCACGTGACCTCGAGGTCATCATGTATATTATTCGATGCGTCTTGACGAGCTGAACACAATGAGACCATCTGCGCGGCTGTATCTTGTTCCTGTACGGAGTTATTGTCAAAAAACCTTTGGTGACCTTTGATGACGTCACATGACCTTACAGCTGCCCAACAGCAAAACAGACCTCAAGGTAGTGAAGGTTGATCGTATATGAAGTCATGTATGGTATATGGGGCCATTCCGAGCCGTTTTAGTGGTAAAAACAGGGAGTTGATTTTTTTCCCATTGACTTATAATGGGGAGGTCGCGAAATTGACCTGACCCTAGGTCACCGATATCAAAATTCCGATGTATGCAAATTGTAGCTACTAATGACCTCATAACATCCTGCGACTTTCAAAGGCCTCCGACATCTACTGTAGCTCTGGCACGGTGACAAATTTGCAAAAAAGTGACTTGAGGTTGGGTCATTCAAAGTGACCTGGTGACCTGACCTTGAAAGTTAGGAGGTTCAAACTTGCACACCACGTGTAAAATTGATGGGAGAATAATCGTACTAAATTTCGCGGCGCTACGCGCCGCGGGGGGCGCGTAGTGCCCCCCGCGCTCTACGCGCCGAAAAACCTCAAGGGGGCGGATATCCGCCCCCCGTCGGTGCGCGTGTTAAAATTGGATATCGTTGGCTTCCTCTCGTGACGGGCAACACGCTCGTTTTTTCCGCGAAGCTCTAGATCCATCAGGAGCCAAACGCGAGGTTTTTGTCCTCACTAAAACGCGTTGGAATGGCCCAATATACCTTATTTACGATCAAATTTGACTACCTTCAGGCTTTTGTGCTCTTGGGCAGCTGTAAGGTCATGTGACGTCATCAAGGGTCACCAAAGTTTTTTCCCTAATAATTCCTCACAGGAACAAGATACAGCCACGCGGATGGTCTCATCATCGTGTTCAGCTCGCCAAGTCGCATCGAATGATATACATGTTGACCTTGAGGTCACGTGACCTGAGGTCAACCTTTGACCTTGACCTTTCGAGGTCAACACATGTATGATTCGATGCGGATTGACGAGTGGATCACGGTGGTGCCATAAACCGTTCCTAGCTTGGCTACTTCTAAGGTTATTCGAGAAAAAATTTCCTCATATCTTGCGGCACCATTTTGACTTTTTTGACCCCTGTGATGTCATCGTTGACCTGACCTAAAAAGTACCTTAGTAGAAATTGTAGACCTTGTCCGTGCGTATACCCTATGCCGTTTACCGCTTGTCTCTAGCTTGCTTCGTTCTCAAGATTTCAGGGGGGGGGCGGTCAACCGCCCCCCGTCGGTTCTAAGCTGGCGCAGACCTCCGTCGTTGCGCGGGTTAACCCGCGCCCTGCTGGGGGGGGGGGGGTGTTTGAACACCCCCCTTGTGGTTTTTCGCGAATATCTCAAAAACGGCGCCGCCGTTTTTGGTACACCTTATCATACATCAATTCTACACATGTTGTGAAAATTTCAGACCAAGGTCATTCAAGGTCAGGTCACCAGGTCACTTGAAGTGACCTCACATCATGAAAACTTTCAATGTCTGTCATAGCTACACCGAGTGACCGATCGCTTTGAAACTTTCAGCGATTGCTAAGAGCAATAGCATGTACAAAATGTATATCTCAGAATTTTGATATCGATGACCTAAGGTCAGGTCAATTTTGCGACCTCCCCATTGTAAGTCAATGGGAGAAAATTGAAATGCGCCTCGTTTGGATGAAAGACATTATAAACACTCCCAAACACCGAATTACAAGTGGTTTAGACACACTGAACTTGAAAATGGTGTCCGTGACCCTTGTTTATGCCCTGAGGTCATCTTAGGTCACGAATGGTATCTAACGGTTTTTCGTAAATAACTTTTGATAGAGGCATGCTAGAGCGATGAAAACGCCTTAGATGTGTTCAGCTCGACGATACGGTTCGACTGATATGCAACATGACCCTTTCCGGTCAGGTCATGACCTTGACCTGAGGTCAAATTTTCAAGTTGACCGTTCAAGGTCAAGTTATAGTTCATTCGATGCGTCTTGACGAGAGGAACACGATGCCGGTAAAAGTAAGCTCGTACAAGGCTTGGGTCAAAAGTTATTGCAGAAAAACTGTTTTCGAAAAAAAATCGGCTATTTTTGCAGTTTTTGCCCCCTGCAGGCAAAACCGTTGACGTTAGGTCAAATCTGAGAGAATTACTCAGAAAGGGCGTTAATAGGGCTATCGAATGCGCTTTTCCGCGGCGCTGTAGCTCTATTGGTTCCCGAGTTATGCGTTGGCTTCTTGGAAATTTTTGATATTCGACCTGGAAATCGGCGAAATTTTGCCTTCAATGACCTCTGGTGACCTGACCTTTGACCTGACCAAAAAATTGACTGAAGTGATTTCGTCATTATTTTTAACGCTCTTTCGAACGCCGCCTTCCGCGTATCGCTACGTGGCCCAGGAGCCGAGTTACAAGGGGGGTGTGTTCAAACACCCCCCCCCCCAGCAGGGCGTGGAAATCCAGGACCCCCAGCAGGGCGCGGGTTAACCCTATTCCTGGCGGGGGGGGCCTCAGGAGCCCCCCCCCCTGAGGTTTTTTGGTTATATCTCCCAAACGCGTTGAGCTAGGAAGCTCAAATTTTCTGACTTTTCCTAAAAGGCTTCTACGCAACATGTCTGAAAATTTTGAGTTGATCTGACCTCAGGTCAGGTCACCAGAGGCGGTTTGGTGACGCTACCTCAGAAAAGTTTGCAATCACGCCAGAGCTAGAGTTTTTGACCGATCAATTTCTTCTCTTCAGGGTTTAGTTAGGGTACCAGTATGTGCAATTTGTATATCTCGGAATTTTGATATCGGTGACCTAAGGTCAGGTCGATTTCGCGACCTCCCCATTATAAGTCAATGGGAGAAAAATCAACTCCCTGTTTTTACCACTAAAACGGGTCGGAATGGCCCCATATACCATACATGACTTCATATACGATCAACCTTCACTACCTTGAGGTCTGTTTTGCTGTTGGGCAGCTGTGAGGTCATGTGACGTCATCAAAGGTCACCAAAGGTTTTTGGCCAATAACTCCGTACAGGAACAAGATACAGACGCGTGGATGGTCTCATTGTGTTCAGCTCGTCAAGACGCATCGAATGATATACATGATGACCTCGAGGTCACGTGACCTGAGGTCAACCTTTGACCTTGACCTTTCGAGGTCAACATATATATCATTCGATGCGGATTGACGAGAGGATCACGATGATGCCCTTAGTTTGTTCCTTTCTTGACTAATTCGAAAGTTATTCGAGAAAAACTCTCTCCATATCTAGTGCCGCCATTTTGACTTTTTCGACCCCTGTGACGTCATCTTTGACCTGACCTGAAAATGACCTTTGTAAAAATTGTAGATCTTGGCCGTGCGTATCCGATGCCGTTTACCGCTTGTCGCTATCTTGCTTCGTTCTCGAGATCTCAGGGGGGGGCCGAATCGGCCCCCCCCCCCGCCAGTTTCTTGTCCCGGCGGAGCCCGCCAGGAATAGGGTTAACGTATACCATATCCAAAATGAGACCACCTAACTAGAAATGAGATTCTTTTGCTTTTGGTGTAAAAGGTGTAAAAGAAAAACATTTTTTCTAGGAACTAGTAATTCTACCACATAAAATTTCAAATTCTTGCCAACAATTCTCCAAAATTCTAATGATACTAGACTACAGGTTTACGCGATAACTGTATGTTCTGATATGTATGATTAACGGATGCATTAGTTTGGGTGTAGAAACTTGCATTTTTATTGGTGTTATTTGTGTAGAACTGGGTAACTGCTTTTAATTGAACTGTAAAGCATGATGGTGATGCATGCGAGTTGTTCGAGCCCTTTTTAAGTTAGGATGTTACTCAATTCAACCCTACCCTACCCTACCCTACCCTACCCTACCCTTACACTACCCTAACCTACCCTACTCTACCCTACCCTACCCTACCCTGCCCTACCCTACCCTACCCTAACATATCCTACCCTAACATATCCTACCCTACCCTACACTACCCTACCCTTTCCTACCCTACCCTGCCCTACCCTACCCTACCCTACCCCTACCCCTACACTACCCTACACTAACCTACCATACCCTACCCTACCCTACCATACCCTACCATACCCTACCCTACCCCTACCCTACCCAACCCTACCCCTAGTCCCTACCCTACCATACCCTACCCTACCATACCCTATCCTACCAATTACCATACCCTACCCTACCATATCCTACCCTACCCTACCCTACCCTTACCCTACCCTACCCTACCCATACCCCTACCCCTACCCCTACCCCTACACTACCCTAACCTACCCTAACCTACCCTACCCTACCCTTACCCTACCCTACCCTTACACTACCCTAGCCTACCCTACCCTACCCCTACCCCTACCCCTAGTCCCTACCCTACCCTACCATACCCTACCCTACCATATCCTACCCTACCCTTACACTACCCTACCCTACCCTACCCTACCCTACCCTTACCCTTACCCTACCCCTACCCCTACCCCTACACTACCCTACCCTTACACTACCCTACCCTACCCTACCCTACCCTACCCTACCCTACCCTACCCTACCCTACCCTACCCTACTCTACACTGCACTACCACCGACAGTCCAAGTTTCAGCTAAATCGGCCCAGAAACGGCTGAGATATTGCAAAAACAAATTAATTGTATTTACTGGCGAATCCTCTTGGCGAGCGGTGCCTTGTGTCGGCCTTCGTTGTCAAAGGTCAACGACCTCCCAGCTCTGATGCTTTTCACTCAGTTTTTTAAGCGAACAACTGAGCCTAAAGCGCGTGCTCTCTGCCCAGCGCCGGCCGCGCCCAGCCTGAGGCAGAGATGCACGCGCTGACGCCGCACCCGTGGTCCGATTGCGCCCATCTTTTGATACGATGGTCCGCCCCACCCAAAGTTTGTGGTAAACAAATTTCACGTCGATACGCGGCGCCGTTCCGGCGCTTTAAGACACATAAGGCTGACGGACGCAGACACGACTTATAATCTATTAACCTTCGCCCTGGTGGGGGGGCCATTTTGGCCCCCCCCCTGTGGTTTTTCAGCGATAACTCAGAAACCACTTGAGTTAGCGCCCTGAAACTTTGTATAGCTGTTTATTCAACATTTTTACATCATGTCCTTTTTTGGGGGGTTCGGGTCAGGTCAGGTCAGGTCACAAGGTCACCAAAACTGACACCACCTCTAAAAAAGTTCAAAACTCTCTCAAAGGCACAGCTTTTATCCGATCGATGTAAAATTTACAGTACTTGAAGATGTCACCCAGCTCTACAAAATGGCTATCTCGGATTTTTTATAAATGTGACCTAAGGTCAGGTCAGGTCATCGCTGCTCCCCATTATAAGTCAATGGGAGAATCGAAAAGTAGTTGTTTTTCAGCTAAATCGGGCGTGATTGTTCCTATATTTCGTTATTGAAGTGTCTTGGGTCAGCAAATCACAGCCCATGTGAAACCATTTGCTTGTGACCTCGCTGAGGTCACGCTAGGTCATCTCCCTGGTCACCAGAGGTCACCAGCGGTTTTTCTGCACTTACTTGTTATTGAATAGAGATAGAGACTCCGTTCGACGTTTATCGTGTTTGTCTCGTCAATGCGGATCGAATGATATGCAGCATGACCTATTTCGGTAAGGTCATGACCTTGACCTGAGGTCAAATTTTCAAAATGACCTTTCGAGGTCAAACTATATATCATTCGACGCGTCTCGACGAGCCAAGCACGATGGTGCATGAATCGTTTCTCTATTTTCTCGTGAATGCATGCTATAGTTAAAAACATTTTCAACGAAATTTGCCAAGTTGACCTTGCATGACCTCTGTAGGCCAAACCGTTGAGCTGAGGTCAAATCTGACGAACCTTGGCGAAAGAGCTTGAAAAGAGCTATCGATTGCTTTTTTCCGCGGCTCTCTAGCTCTTCTAGTTTCCGAGCTACAGCGGAATATGTCCGGCAACACCGAAAACACTGAAATTTGACCTATGATGACCTCTAGCGACCTCAATATTGACCTTAGCGAAAAAATGACCGAAATACTTTCGAACGTACTTGTTATGGGCTTTCGTTTGCTTTTTTCCGCGTCTTCCTAGCCCTCTTCGTTTTCGAGTTAGACGGGGGGGGGTCATTTTGGCCCCCCCCCCACCAGGGCGAAGGTGGCTCAGACCCACACCAGGGCGCGGGTTAAGTAAGATTGTATTTTTATGGTTCCAAGGTTCTTGAGCCTTTATTTATGGAAATCCGTAGCAGTCACAGTTATATCCCTATTAGTGGCAGGCTTCTGGCTACACCTGATTGCTCAGCGATGCCGAAAGGAAAGGCTGACGTCACTTCTACAACTTTGTTTTTTCATGTTTTTTGCTTCATGCTTTTTACAGGTCCACCACTTCAATGATATCTCGAAGGAGGGACGAAAGGAGGTTGGCAACGTGTCAACTGGAGTAGTCAACTACATCACTGGAGAGTTCCCTACCCTGCTCTTGCACGTGTGGCTGGCAGCAGCTAGCATCGGCATTACATTGGACAGCCTGAAACCCTTCTACACAGAGTCAAGACCTCCAAAAAGGTAAGTTTGATGTTTGACACAAGTGATTCAAATTCACAAGCTTCCCTTTTTATAATCTTGCATTTTTCATCAAACAGCGGTCAACAGACACTATACGATAAACAGTAGGTAAATGTTCACTTTCCTCTTAACCCTCGCCCGTGTTGGTGTTTTTCCAGCCACGAACGTATAAGGGGGGAGGGTCCGTTGGACCTCCCTTGCCGTTTCGCCCCTGATCGAGCTAGAGCTTCGCGGAAAAACGAGCGTGTTGCCCGTGACGAGAGGAAGGCGATGATACCCGATTTTAACCCGCGACGGCCGAGGGGGGGGGGGTTGGATCCAATCCCCCCTCCCCCTCCGTTTTTCATGAATAGCTCACGAACCACTTAACCCTCGCATGTGTGCGGCGTTTGCCAGCTTCTAATGTGTAGGGGGGGGGGGGGTCGGTTGGACCCCCCCCTTGCCGTTTGGCCCCTGATCGAGCTAGAGCTTCGCGGAAAAAACGAGCGTGTTGCCCGTGACGTGAGGGAGCCAATGATACCCAATTTTAAGGTCCTAGGTCATTGGTTGACCTTCCAGGTCAGGTCAATGACCCAAAGTCGGGAAAATCGGGACCTGTTAGAAAGTCGTAAAGGGTGGCTGCTAAGGGGTTTTTCGGGGTGCTGATCACGAATATCGTGTTAGTGTTGATCACAGGTGATGTCTTTAAGCATTTAGACCAGGTCAGGTCAGGTCATGTCAGGTCAACCAGTAGGCGTCGTGATGGGTATTCGTAGTACGTGTCAACCGCCTCCGACAGCTTCGTAACATGTTACGAAGGCACCAAAACTACTTCGTAAATGTTCAAATGGTTTCTAAATTCGAATTCAGCTCCAAAAACTAGCCTAGAAACATGTACAGCTCGAAAAAGTGAACCGAGGTCACCCGAGGTCACCAAAGGTCAATGACCTGACCTGACCTTCAGGTGACCTTGACACCCACCCTAATGCATGGAAGCAACATCAAATCACATGTTTGAACGTTTGAAACCACGAAAAGCTTGCAAACGCGCGGCTAATGCGAGCCGATATACGCAGAATCGCGATTCCGGCCAAACATGGTCTCGGAAAAGAGGTCACAGGTCAAAGGTCATTTGGGTCAGGGTCATGAAATTTTCAGGGTAGGTGTAAAATTGATCAATGTGAGGGTACTGAAAGTTTCGTCGCGATCGGCCGCTTTTTACGCGAGTTATTTGCGAAAAACCATGGGGGGTCCATCCGACCCCCCCCCCCCTACACATGCGAGGGTTAAGTTATCAACTTGAAACTTCGTATACCTGCTCCTTTTTCAATTTGACGTCTTTCGTCAAATTCTTATGCAAATTTTTCAAAAACTTTTTGAGATATATCGATTTTATTGCTGCAACTACATGGCTTTTTTCGTCAAAAAATGACCAATGTTTAAAAAATCGCCAACAATCAGGGGTTTAATCAATTTGCAAATTAAAGACACGAATAGACGCAGCTCAATGAGGTCTTCAAAATGGCTATCTCACTTTTCCCATAAAATGCATTTTTTACCCATAAAATTCAAAAAACTATGATTTTTGGAAAACAGCTAATAAAATCTTTTTTTTATTTAAAAAACGGAATATATGTTATATAGCTCTATTAGAACAATAGATGTCCCAAATTGCAACTTTCTATCTTGATTTTTGACCCCCAAAATGTAAAAAATGGCTCCAACATGTATAGGGATGGTGACGTCATAAGCATTTATGCGAGTTTTTGGCACTTCGTACCGGGACGGCTCATCCTTGAGCTGCTCTGCTCGCAGCTCCTCGGCACTCAGCGGTTTGATTTCCATCTCAATGACGGTACAAACCGACCAAGTGCACGAGTCGAGGTCGATGACCACGGTCACTTCTTGGCTTTGCCCTTCTTTCATTGCCCTTCAAGACAAACGGCTCTGTCCATTCACGTGCCGTCGTGCGGTATTTCGGGCCCCGGTTGATGCCGCACCTCGAACTCGAAATCGAGCAGCTTCAATGCATCCCTCACAAGTCGTGAGGAGCACTTGGGTTCCGTTGTGGCCTGGAGCATGTATCTGAGAGCGCTGTTGTATGTGGTCATTATGAAATGCCGACCGTCAAGGTAGTAAAAGAACTTCTCAAAGAGCAAAGACGACCACCATGCTCTCTTTTACCAGTAAAGGCTGCGGCAGCTTGGACGGAGTTGTAACGCAGGTGCGCCACAATTTTTTTTTCAATTTGAAAAAGCAAGCTGTGTCACAAACGAAAGTGCAATCATTGACCAGAGCGCAGGAAGGCCGACCACGCGCCGGCGCACTCGGGCCGGCCCGAAACAGCAGCTGCACCCGACTCGGATGAAAACAGACCGAGGCTGGGACCAGAGACCCGGATGCCGATCAGCCATGTCGTCTGATGAATGGAGAGCCGGGCTGTGCACGCAAACAAAGTCATTTGACCCCCTGACCGTCGCGTCGGCCCCAAGACCATCTGCGCGCGCCGCAGAGACACGGTCAGTTGGCTAAATCGGCTGCGATGCCCATCTGCGTCGCAGGCCGGCGTACACAAGGGGTGAAGCCGGCTTTGACAAAAAGGCTCCACTATGGACGACCACCCCCCACTTCATGAGAACCCGGATCTGAAGTCAACAAATGACATGCCGGAGCGCACCACCTGCCAGTGGCGAGTCATTAATCAGTTAACCCTCGCCGGCCGAGGGGGGGTGCCGCCCCCCATAGGGTTTTTTTTTTGCGATAGCTCCGAACACGCTGGCGATAGCGAGCTGAAACTTGGCATACCTGACCTTTGATTCAAGCCGGATCTTTTGACACTAACCGCATTTTTGAGTCAGGTCAGGTCACTGACCTATGACGTCATAAGTGAACCTCTGCACGGTCTTCAGATGTCGCAACTTCGCAACGCCCTCACTGCCAGAGGAGATGTCACAAGGAAATGAAACTTGCAGGATCTATTATCCATTATGAGTCTCACAACCTGTATATCTCAGATTTTTCCTAAAGGTCATATGAGGTCAGGTCATTTTCGTGACCTCACCATTATAAGTCAATGGGAAAAATGAAAACTGCTATTCTGGCGCCGGGAACGATCTCCAACTATCTCAAGCACACAGAATCGTGATTTGATCCACTCCTTGCAAGGTTAGATGCGTCACCTTTGTAATGTTGACCTTGCGTGACGTCATTTATGACGTCATCAAGGTCATATTAGTTTTTCGTCAATAACTCTTGATCAAATTGAGCTAGCGAGTCGGGAAAGCCACCAATGGACTCAGGAAGACCTGCCGAATCGAATGTTATACGACATGACCCCTTTCGACCAACTTCGTGACCTTAGGGTGCTGACCTGACCTTGACCTGAGGTCAACGCCCCAAGTTGACCTGACCAGAACAAAAAGTATATCATTCGACGCGCCTGAGCAAGGCGAACACGATGCTGCCAAAATCGGCGCTCTGCAGCCGTTTTTTGCGAAGTTATTCACCAAAAACTGAACCGTACCTTGGGGCACTTGACCTGACCTCAGAGGTCACCGGTTGACCTAGGACCTTAAAATCGGGTACCAATCTCTGCGTCTCGTAACGGCGCACACGCTCGTTTTTTCCGCGACGCGCTAGCTCCACCAGGGGCGAAACGGCGAGAGGGGGTCGTACCCGCCCCCCCCCCTCCCCTCGGCCGGCGCGTATGTAGAAAACCAATAGGTCCGGCGAGGGTTTAACCTTTGGAAAGCAGGACTTGGTCCCACTCTCGGCACCCCGATGGGGAACATTTATCAAGCGGATCATTACTGACAGAAGCCAAACAAGAGAAGGGCGCAGCAGCCGACCTGGACTTAAGCCGAGGACCAAACAAGGGGAGCGGAGAAACGACCCACATTTCTGATACAATTAACCCGGAAGCTGGGGAAAGAGGGTGGCACGCCCCAGGGGCTGCTGAGAGGACTGTCGATACTACACCCTGAGGGGATGCACAGCCGTCAGCCACCACCATCAAATCACGAGAAATTGGGGCGGTGCTTCAAGCCGAAGAAGACATCTTGGTTCGAGGGCGGTACCTACTACCTATGTCCCTCCACCGATTTAGACCGCCCACAAAAACTGGGGCGCCAAGTGATGTCATCAGGGGTATTTAAACTGGAGCAAGAAACGAAAGGGGCTTCTTCTCTGTGGCGGTCTACCTCGACGGTGAGAGTGCCACTAGCAGCAGCCGACGGCGCAGCAGTAGCCTACTCTCTTCAAGGAGGTCAGTCATTCTCGGAGCACAGACGGCCATTCCCAGTCCACCCGCTACAATGCCCGCCCCCTTTCATCTCTCATAATGACCTACCCTCCCTCCCTCGTGTAAGCTGACCCATGCTTTCCGACGGGGCGTCCCCGGAGGGAGGGATAGATTTGAGGGGGTGAGGAGGACGTACAGTCGTGTACAGGTTGATGGTCCTCCACTCTTTATCCACCGGGTTCCTATGGCTCAGCATTGGCAGCAGCCGCCTGGTACCGGTAGGCTGTGCCGCATGACCCGAGAGTGAAGCGGCACAGCCTACCCACACTGTATGACACCGGCTCGGGTCGCCTGGTAGAGCGATTAGACCGGACGCTGCGTTACACCGGCTGGGGGGAGGGGGGGGGGTAAGGGTCAGGCCTGTCTATTTGGCTCGGCTCGGTGGATGAGGCGGGCTGGAGTGTGGTGTGGGGCGGGGGTGATGTGGGGAGGGAGTGAGCGGACCCGGGGCTGGGTGTGTGTGGTCACTTGTCGCATAGACCCGATCGTAATCCACCCTCCAAAAAATTCGCTTTAGAGATATTCACAAAACCCAGGGGGGTTCAAACACCCATCTCCCAAGTGGAGTGCGGAAGGACAGGTAAGGGTCCATACGGTCTCCTCATGAATTGCAGCAAAGAAAGAAAACAGACCTGTCACCAAATAATCTTTCTGAAAAGTGGACTAATCGCATAGCCTCGGACACAGAAATAAACATCCAGCACGCGAAGCGCCTCGAACC